CTTGGATAAGGTCTGCATGAATAAGTTTCGGCTCTCGGTTTCCCTCTAGTGTCGAAAACGTTACAAGGTTCAACATGAAGCACACACAGCGAGAGAAACAACGGGCCAAAAAGACTTTGCACAACCATTGCAGGTACACAGCTGGACGTCTCCAACTGCTACACCAGGGTCACGAGAGTGTCTTCGTTGGTGGCAGACTCTCGGCCCTGCTGCCACCCCCTGCTGTCGTGAAAAAAGGGGATTGTATGGTGGCAGGGTATTCTGCCACTCCGCACACACACGCCCCTCAAAGAGGGGCGAGAAACACTTTTCGGGCGGGGAGAAGAAGAGCCCGAAAGACGGACGAAGACCCCAACAGAAAACAAACGGAGCAAGCACCCAAAAGAAACAGAAAGCCCCACGTTGGGTCACCGCGGGCAAAACCCCAACCAAGAAACACGAAAAACAGGGGAACCCGAGTTTTAGGCGAGGGCAAAAACCCCAAACAGCCCAGAAACCCTCCTAAACCTGGAAGAGGACCACCACCGCAAAGTTGAAGACCGAGAAGAGGACAAGGCCATCCCTAAACGGGCGAAGAGGAAGAACAGGAAGTAGTTGGAAAAAGGGCGGGGAGGAAACGAAGGAAAGGAAGAGAGAAAGAGAGAAAGAGAAAGAAAGAAAGAAAGAAAGAAAGAAAGAAAGAAAGAAAGAAAGAAAGAAAGAAAGAAAGAAAGAAAGAGAGAGAAAGAGGGAAAGAAAGAAAGAAAGAAAGAAAGAAAGAAAGAAAGAAAGAAAGAAAGAAAGAAAGAAAGAAAGAAAGAAAGAAAGTGTGCGTATTTAAGGCGACGCATCCCGCCCAGAGAAACACGAGGACAAAGCCAATGCTCGAGGAAGAGGGCGTCGAATCCCGCAGAGGGGCCATGAGGAAGAGCACGATGAAGCAACGGTGGGGGACGAAGACGGCAAGCCAAACAGCGCGAGGGGACCGAGGACCACGAACAAATAGGCAAACAAGAAGAGGACGACGACGAAAAAATGGCAAACAACGCGGCAGAGAAGAAGCCATCCCTAAACGGGCCAAGAGGAAGAACAGCAACACGCGGAAGACGGAAGGCCGGAAGAAGGAACGGGAGGAAGGAGAAGCCATCCCTAAACGGGCGAAGAGCAAGACGACGGACACGCGGACGACGAAGGCGAGGAGGGAGGGTGAAACGTATCTATGAAGAGGTGGCTGTCTTCCCTTTAGTGAAACCTCGTTCCTGCTTAAACGTGAAATTCCGCTGGTCTATGATAAGCACGTTGAGGTCAAATTTTCCGGCGAACCGGCCCGGGGTCACACGATGGGTACACCCGAGGGTCCCCCACGAATGGGGTGTTCACACTTAGACTCCAAATGGAGGGATCTAATCTTTCGAGTACAACTGGTAAGTCTCGGCTTGGATAAGGCTCTGCATGAATAAGTTTCGGCTCGCAATGCACTCGGTTTCCCTCTAGTGTCGAAAACGTTACAAGGTTCAACATGAAGCACACACAGCGAGAGAAACAACGGGCCAAAAAGACTTTGCACAACCATTGCAGGTACACAGCTGGACGTCTCCAACTGCTTCACCAGGGTCACGAGAGTGTCTTCGTTGGTGGCAGACTCTCGGTCCTGCTGCCACCCCCTGCTGTCGTGAAAAAAGGGGATTGTATGGTGGCTATTCTGCCACTCCGCACACACACACACAAAATCACACACAAAAACACACACACACACACACACACACACACACACACACACACACACACACACACACACACACACACACACACACACACACACACACACACACACACACACACACACACACACACACACACACACACACACACACACACAAAAAACACACACAAAAACACACACACACACACAAAAACACACACAAAACACACACAAAAACACACACACAAAAACACACACAAAAACACACACACACACACACACACAAACACACAAAAACACACACAAAAACACACACACAAACACACACACACACACACACACACACACACACACACACACACACACACACACACAAAACCACACACACAAAACACACACGAAAACACACACAAAAACACACACACAAAAACACACACACAAAAACACACACAAACACACACACACACAAAACACACACAAAAACACACACAAAAACACACACACACACACACAAAAACACACAAAAACACACACAAAAACACACACAAAAACACACACAAAAACACACACAAAATCACACACAAAAACACACACACAAACACACACACACACAAACGCAAACGCAAACGCAAACGCAAACGCAAACGCAAACGCAAACGCAAACGCAAACGCAAACGCAAACGCAAACGCAAACGCAAACGCAAACGCAAACACAAACACAAACACAAACACAAACACACACACACACACACACATACACACACACAAACACACAAACACGCACACAAACACAAACACAAGCACAAACACAAGCAAAAGCACAAACACAAACACAAACACAAACACGAACACAAACACAAACACAAACACAAACACACACACACACACACACACATGGGCTTTGTATTCAGCACCCGGCTATGAAGTCTGGTGGTCAGACCCGTGTAAGGGTAAATACGTCCAGCACTAGTCAGGGGTTGAAATCATTGACATCATACCCTGCAAAAAGTTGGGTATTGTGTGAATAGAATACAGGGGCCACAAGTGGACCTGGTGCACACATCAGTCTGGTTGCTCTTGCTGCCGCAGGAAGTGCTCATAGTACCTCCTCAGCTCCTGAGCTCGGGATACGTTTTTGGTCACATGAGTCATAGTCAAAGACATGGGGTTAAACCTGGGAAGAGTGTAGAACAACACACAATCAACCCGCGCAAGATAGCCAGCACCCCCTCATTCATCCACCGTGCCGCTGCACCCCACGCCAGGACTCCAGGACTATGAACACCTACTCCAACAGTCAAATTCAAACACTCAATACCTTCAGTGCCCGTACAGCCACCACCCCCTGCTGGTCCCGCAGCGCACTTTCAATCATGGAGAATTAGCTGATTCACGGGGGGTGATCTGAAGGCCTATCTCTTTCTGTGCCGCGAGCGGCCGTTTTCTACATGTTCTTCTCTTTCTCACCTGACTGCTTCCTGAAAAGGCAGGCTATGCAGCAGAGCAAGACCAGCGACAGACGCCAAGGCCAAGCTCTAAAGCCCAGGCAAGAGCATCACACGTGGCGTGTATGGCCTCACGGCCTTTGCCGACATTTCCAGCGCTAGGGAGAGGCACTGCAACAGGGTGATATCAACATAAGTCATCATGTGCACCTTCTCAACTGAGTTTGTCTTGTGCTACTTATGTTGTTGGAGCTCCTTGTGCATTTGGCTGAAATTTCATTGATCTGACCTGAATCCGGCCTCCTATAATGGCCCAACCTCCGACTTGATGCAACCTCTACGTGTAAACTGCATGTGATCTGACCAAAACAGCTGTGCTTAAAACGAGTGTTAGCCACACACTCAGATCCAACCTCAGCAGTTCAGGTGTCTCATGAGCAGGACCCCTCAAACAGTGTAAGTCCAACGACTATCTCGCGAAATTTGGCAACACACACACACACACTTGGCAATTAGCTTTAAAATACAATGCCAAAACAACATCCCCTTAAAGCATGTATACGGAGTAGGGGGCAGGGGATTCACATCCCATCCCATCCAACTCATCCGATTGAACCAGCACCTGATAAGCTTTCGTCCGGCAAGAACATGGCAAACAGGGGTTGCTTCAAACAAAACATAGGTGTTTTCCGCACAAACAGAGAAACAAGCAAGCAACAACCACAGACGAAACCCTGATGAACCCGCAAAAACCTGAGGGCCCTGTGGATTTCTCCACGCCGGGGGTTTCCCAGTCCCTCCAAAAACTCCAGGCTTGGCATCCACCAACCTGGCGCCCTGGAACCGCATCTCCGGAACCCTCCCCTCCCTCAAGGGCCTGGGCAAAGACTAGAGACTCCCTATAGGACCCCTGAAAAATGGTTGGTCCTTACCCCAAAAGTTTTGGGCAATAATTGGTTAACCCCATTTTTCTACTGTCAGGGAGACTCCAGGTAGAGACTCCATAGCTTTCAGCTGGAAGGCTTGCCCAAGGCGAATCGGCCGAATTCCACTGTGAATGGGCAAGATCCATCGTGAATTATAATATTTCACCAACCTGAAATAAGGGCTATTCCACGCATAAACCACCATTTGGGGTGAGGTCGTGTGCGGTCGTTGCAACAAACGTCATGGTTTCAACCATGGGCTCAAAGTGGTGCGAACGGATTTCGAAACCATCCACAGTATTTCACTGGGAAACCCACGCACTGCCAACAAAAAGAGAAAATCAACCTGGGCTGTCCTCAGCTCCCCAACTGAATTTGCTTCACTTGTGGGCGAAATGGAATAAACACCTAAAACCCGAAAGAACCGGATCACCAAACAAACCTGCACTGCAGATGGCTGGGAACCACCAAGAAAACCTGCAGATCTGGGGGAACATGGGGGAACCCAGAGAACCCCGGTACGCTTCGAGTCGCAGAGCGCGTCGAGTCGTTCTCCAGCTTGTCCTTGGCGACTGATCCGACCGGGACCCTGCAAGTCGAACTTCTTGCTAGTTGAAAGGTCAAATCACGAGCAACCAAAACAGAAAAGTAACACGGGTACGCTAAGTGTGGCAAAGTGTCCAGCTCTTTTTGCTCCAGCAGGTACTTGGGATGCGCGAAACCTCGAAGCCGACAGCCGAACGCCGACCGGTGACCTCCGAAGCAGAAGGGGTTCGCAGGTTCGCCGCCGAAATGCTCGGTTTGGAGAAAGACCAGAGGGAAAATGGGCAGGGGGCTTTCCCACAGGCAGGGCTTACGTTTGGATGGAAAGCTGTGACTCATACGAATCCAATGCTCAACACTCGGAATCCTCCCAGCGGGGCAACTTTGGTCACATGCGCGCTGGGAACTTCGTGTCGTAGGCGTTTGGTCCCTAATAACACTCCAAGAATTTGCCCGAAGTTCGCAAGCATCTACTTCAAGCAATAGTTCTGCACGTAGAACAGAAGGCAGCATCTATGTATTGCAGACACTGCAACCCATGCTGGTACCAAAAACCTAATGGATTTAAGGTGCGCTACTGGAGTGCTTGCGTGTGAAGTCTGATCCGTGTGTGGATGTGCCTTCACATGGTTGACCGACATGCTGTGAGGCTAAAGCTGGCCCCAGCATCTGGGCTGTGCAAACTGATCCCGTGCTAAAGGTGACTAAAAAATCGTGGGTCGAGTCACAAACATCTCCAGGAAGCTAGGTAGAACCCTGACTAAAACGGCCCATGTGGGTATGTCTTTTTTGAGGACCCCGCAATAGCTTCGGTGTTTCTCTTGCTTCCCCTTAAAACCACCAAACAAGGGCTAGCCTCAAAAAAAGACACACCCATATGGGATTCGGTTTCGGGTGCACATGTTGATTCGCTCTTGAGCATATCCCTGCAAAGGGCCCCAATCCCATCCAAACTTCTGAAAGGGTGCCGGGGTAAATCCCCGCAAATCCCCCGTGTGTTTTTAACCAGTCTCGGACCGTCGGAGGGTCAACCCCCATCCCAATTCCAGTCTGACAGGTGTGAATCTTACCCCGAGGTTGCTCCACAACAGTTCCTGCGACCAGAGTAGTGTGGCCCCTTCAACCTTCCGCGCAAAACTTGGGTGAGCAATCCTCGTAGTTTTGCCCTCCCATCGCTTGCCAATCTCCTTTTGCCGTAGAGTACCTTTGAAGAAAACCACAGAGTTCCAGTAGCGATAGATTTAGAAGCAACCGGGGATATAAAGACATATTCTTTTCCAAATGGAATCCAATTGGGTGTCTCTTAGTTGTTTAATTGGTTTAAAGTACATAGGTTGCCAGGGGACGAACATGAACACCGCTTTTCCGGGTGTTTTTCACGCCGAGAAAACGAAACCGTGCAGCCGCGCCAGACTGAAACTTGATCAGCAGGTGTGGCCTGCGGGAAATCCAACACGGATTTCGTCTTGGTACCCACACAGCAGCCTGGAGTCTCCGTGACCCTTGAAAAATGGGGTCATTGCCCAAAATTAAGGGGTAATGACCCCATTTTTAAGGGGTCATGGAGACTCTAGGAGCTTGCTTTGAAGAACCACAGGCAAACGATATCATGTGTGGGCGAAAACAGAACCCAGCAACCACACACACAAAACTACAAGATCGAGGGGTTCAAATCTCAAACCAATTTGGGGCTACCTGATTTTTGCGGGGATCTCCACAAGCATGGGGCATTTTGAGTAAGATTCCCCGATTAGATTTGTTCTCCTACACATTAAGCCATTGGACCACGTTTTGCCCCGGACAGTTCGAATTCTGAGATCGTGCCAACTACCACTAACTAACCACTATGTGAAGGGTATATACCCTGATTTCCCTTTGGGGGGTTGTGGTTTGAGGGTGGTGGGAAACATCTCAGATCAAATACTCAGTTGTTCAGTGACCCTGGGAAAAAAAGAACCCTTTTGGGGGAAGACCATTTGTTGTGGGGCAGCCACCAAAAAAAAAACAGGAAAAAGGGTGCCACTGAACAAGTGAGAATATGAAAAGAAACACCCTTGCCGTATGTGGTCCTCTCACTAAATTGAACGAAGGCTTGCCAAAGGCAAGCCGCTCTCTGAAAGAAATATTTAGATGGGTCCCTACTCCAACTACCCGCCTTTGTTTCAGTTGGTATTCTGTTGAAGAACCAGGTTGTCCGTGGCAAACCACATCAAACCACCTTCGTTTTTGTCGGTTCGGACTCATACCCTGAAACCTCGGGCATTTGGAGTCCTTAGGAGTATTGGGCTGGTATTCGGAGAAGCGTCTGGCCGAAACATGAGGGCGGAGCATTCACGCGATGGACAGCAGCGCTTTGCAAAAAACATAAACGGAGAAGGGGCAGAAGGATGGCGTCCACCCCCAAACCGCCCCCCAGTTTGCTGTGCCTTCATTTGCTTGAGCCCCCTGGGAAAAAAAAAAAAACGAACGAGTATTTGCAATATAGTGATAAAGTCCCTTTAATCCCAACAAGGGAAATAAACCATATTCGTAAGCAAATGGAAGCATGCATGAAGGCTACTCATCTTTGTTCCTGTGGGTAGTGGTTTGGGAGTCGTTGAGAGGCATGATGAGCTGGCTTGGTCGTTGACCCCAGACAACAATTGGCACAGGTGGTTAAACAAAAAAAGAAAGAAACATTCACACACACACACACAAACAGGAAACATAACCGGCCACTTTGTCTCGCACAAAAAAAAGAAGCCGCAGGTGTCATTTGCTCTCGGACCCAGCGAAAGGCGATCGATCAGCTCTTGTGAAGTACAGACCGGATCCGGTCGAGTCGCGGGGCAGTCCGAAAGTTTTCAAACCGGTCAGGACTTGTTGCCATGTTTTTGCCAGCCGAAAAGGGGGAGAATAGAGCACTTGGAATGCAACTGCAAAAGGATCTGTCCTTTGATGTCTGGGGATCATGGCAAGACACCGATGGTTGAAATGTTCTAGCCCGGTTTAAAGTATACTTGTCAGGTACCAAAGAGCAGAGCTCTGCATATGCGAAAAGTAAGCCAAGCCATGGTAGTTTGTGGATCACTCACTTTGACTCACTTTGTCACTTGTTCCAATTCTATACTAATCCCAAGTTAATAGATAGGGTGCATATGGTGGTGTCTGTTTTGGCTCTTATTTCCTTTTTGATGGTGTAAAAGGGAAACCAAAAGGAATACCGAAGCCATGTTGGGAAGCCCAAACAAGGGCACACCCGCATCTGAGTCTAGAGGGACCCGCCCTTCCCGAATCATTTCCGCCAGGTTGACTAGACGCACTTTTGGATGTGAAACACCGATTGGACAACTTCATGCATCTACCTAGAGTCTCCTTCTGACCCCTTAAACATGGGGGTCGAATCACCCCTTAATTGGGGCAATGACCAACCATTTTTCAAGGGTCATGGAGACTCCAGGTACCATGTCAGCAACAAGAACTTCTGCGGTGGTAGCTCTCAGTTCGGCTCCCCTCAACTAGCTAGTCGCACTCCAGTTCTTTTGGTGACCCGAAGTAAAACAAACAAAAAGCATCTGGAGGTTGATCTCATGTTTGCTCCCAACTCCCTGAACACTATGTTGTTTGCTACGTTCTGGTTCAAAGACATGATATCTCTGTATATAGATGGTACCCCCGCCCCTTCATCTCCAAATTCGCCTTCAAACAACAAAATGGTAGATCCATCACGGAACTGGGGGAATTCTCCCGCCGTCGCCTCTGCAGGTTCCAGTCGCGCAAAATGGTCTCAAAGATATCCGCTGACTTCGAGGCGAGATCCTTGGTGAGACGCGACTTGCATTCCTCTGGATGGTTGCGAAATCCATACAACACACCACGAAATGAGTTACCGTGGGAGAAAGCATAACGTTTGCTGCTATTTACAGGGGAATCATCAGAAACCACGAGTTCCCAACGCGGGCGCGAGACGGAGTTCGCCTATCAGCAAAAAACGAGCAGCAGCACTCAAGGGAAGTGGTCACCATCCGTAGAGTCGCCCCTAATCCATCGTTCACATCCGACTTTCGGGGGCCAATCAGTTTTTTTGACATGGCAAATGCACTTTGCAGCCGTTCCATCTGACTCCCCACTCCGACACCCATGCGTTCTTAGGGTGGTAGTTGATCGAACCACCAGGTAAACCAGGAATCGCCCTCTACTTTTCAACCAAATCAATCAAAAAGGACACCTATGTTCATGTGTTTCAGGTAAACCTTCGTTGGGCTTGGTGGCGCCGGGAGTTGAAGCCCTAAGCCCGGCGTCTTCAGCTTTAGTCCACTCAAAAAACCTGATCTGCAGAAGACAATACCTAGAGAGAGTCTCCTTCTGACCCTGTAAAAATGGGGTCATTACCCTGAATAATGGGGTCATGGACCTATTTTTGAAGGGTCATGGAGACTCTAGAAATCCGCAACCTTCCAGGCCAAACATCAATCACTCCTTGGCACCAGAGCAAGCTCTGCAAGCAATGCCGATCAGTACCCTCACTTCCGGTCTCTTTTTGGAGGGTACCTGGTTTTGGGTGGTTTTAAGGGAAAACTAAAGGGACAACCACCAACTTTGGGGTCCCCTATTTTAAGACGCACCCATCGGAGTAAATGATGGTGAAACTTGTCTGGTGCGTTTGTGAACTCTGCCAAGACTCTGCATCGCCAGAGGGAATGTACACAAATTCCTGCACTCCTCAGACGAGTCAAGTGCAGGGCATTCTGTTTCTGTTCAAAGCGTTTCTATATCAGGAAGTTGGTGAAGCATCAAGCTTTAAGCTAGGTCCTCCAGTAGAGAGGTTAGAACAAAGGTGCCCATGTTTTTTTCTGGACGCCTATTTTAGTAGGGGAACCCTCCCAACCAAAAAAGGGGTAAGAAAGTTGGCACCAAGCTGGGGGACCTAGTAAATCTTCTGGGCAAACGGGTGCGGACTGCTTCCCCATTCCCAGCTTCTTGCTTTCTGCAGCTTCCAATCGTGGTTGACGTTGGAAGAGGAGCATAAAAATAAATTTTAGCTGTTAAGTGGATTTGGATTTCAACCACTAAACCACAATAAGCAAAAATGGGAAACATGTTTTTAAACAACAGCCATGACTTAATGGAAGTCAACCTCCCTTCCAACCACTAGCCAGAAATTCCGACACCCCTGTCCACTTGGGTTTGCCTCTGCAGGTGGGAACCTAATAATTGGTCTTGTTGTATCTCGGCTGCGAAATCTGCGAAGCCCTGTTAAAAGTGACTAACTTTTAGTGGTTTAATTCGGAAAACCCACTAGTTGGCAAAAAGTTAAAGTCCTAACAGCCAAGCAACATGCAACAAAGGTATGTCGCATTCCTTGACAAATGATAGGTGGATGGTGGAAGGGTGCCACTCATTCTTCCTCATTTGCCCCCCAGAAACGTGTTTGGAGTCTGATCCATACTCGGCTCTTTCTTACAATGGGATATCATGGCTACCTGTCTTGTGTTGTTTGCCATAAGTTTGAGGAGGGCTATTCAGTTAGCCTTACGTGAAAGCAAACAGGAAGGGTGTCCCAGCAACAGGGCTAACACCCCAAGAAGGAATTCATCTGGCTGTGGCTCAAAACCAATGGTACCCTTTTGGGGTAGGTGAATTCACCACCCATTTTAGAACCGATTTTAATGGGGATTGGGATGCTCACTGGGGGCACGGGCTTTGGCTTTTGACCCATGGCCATCTAGTGGCAACAGGTGATGATTGAACAGGCCAAGGGAACATGCTCAGTGTAAAGTACTGAAAGGCATGGTGCCCGAGTCCCAGTAGTTCTACCACCATGCTTGGCTGGAAAAATCGGACCCAGCAAAAAAATATCTGTTTTGCCTGGTTAGTGGAAAACAAAGGGAACCCCAAAAAAGCAAAAAGGCAAAAAAGCAAAAAGGGGAGCTAATTCTGGGGAAGCATGGTTATGATGGAGGTTTCTAATGACCTTACCACCCTGACAAAACTCGGTAGAATCCAACTTGGCCCCTGTTTTTGCTTGCGTCTGTGCGCTGCTCCCGTGGGTGTGAGTAACAATCAGCAGCAAGTGGGCACAGTTAGCATTGAGAGTTAGGGTCCTTGTGCAAACCGATTGTTGATCAAAATAATGGCAAGAACACAATTTAGATGACAATCTTTGGTGTTATATATTAACCCAACTATTGTTTTAATGGAACCCCAGTGTATTGGGTGTCTTTTCTTAGACCGCCCGAAACTTTGTGGTTGGCCTTTTGGCGTCCCTTGAAAAAGCCAACCAAACAGGTTGGTACCAAAAAGCGGCACAACCATACTGTGGATGGACGAAATCCTGCACCACCTACGAAAGAAACCCTGGAATGATGATTCCCTGTAAATGCCAACGAACAATGATTGCAACCATGGCCAAGTGGTGCAAACGGATTCCTTCCATCCACAATGTACCCTGTAGAAAGACTAGTTTCTTCTTGGAAAGGAGGAACTCAGGAACTCAGGAAGTGAGGTGGGAGGGTATACTTCCATTTGCTGAAGCCCGCTTGGAAAATTATGTTCCCAGTAGTGATAGATTCCCTTCAAAACCAAGGAACATAACACATAGTCTTAAGCAAATGGAAGCGTGCTTCTGAAGGGTACCCAGTTTGCCCTGCGTGTAGCGGTTTGGGAGTCGCGGAGAGATATGGCGAGCTGGCTTAATAAGTACTTTTTTTTTTTAAGTAGGCGGTTTCCGGGGTCTTGGAGATCACAGGCAATCACCGCGAATGCGAGCCACGGCCATCCGTGGTGAACTTCCCGTGCCGAAGGGATGCAGCCTACCGAAAGGGTGCCACCACGCGAGCTCCCAGAAATTGGGTGGGTTTGGATACGGTTAAAGGGTCGGGGTACAGGAAAAGGTCTACAGGAAATGGCCCCCCAAAACAGCCTAAGCCGGAATTTCCTGTAGAATGTTCCTGTAACCCAACCCTTTGATACAGCCGAAAGCGGGAGCAACCCACAATTGGGGTAGTTTGGATTGGTGGTTTCGGGGTTTGAACCCCTGGTCCCTGGTTCTTCTAGAGGGTAAATGCAAAACCACCCCCAACAACCAATCCATGAATTCAAGCCACCCATTAGCGGGAAGCTGACGATTGACATGAGCTGTTTAAAACTTGTTTTGATCTAAGCACGGGTTTGCTTTTTTTCCAGCGCAACCCTCAGCCAGAGTCCCCAGGGAAAGAAAACGGGCACCTCCAAACCACTCTGGAGTTGACACCAACATGGACGTGCAGGTGGGGCTGCCTCAAAATGATGAGCCCTGAGACTTGGCAGTTCCCAGCCATCACCATAGGCTCTTAGGCTTTTTGTTTATGGGTTTAGTGGTAGTTTTCACTTAATCCACTAACAGTTGTGCGGTACAAATAACCCTGCTCATGCGCCATCCGTCCGCCCCAAAAAAAGAAGCTCAGGTGATACTGTGGATTTCGTCGAAATCTACCACCAAAGAAACCCTGGAATGTTCCCCTGCAAGTACCAACAAACTGGCCTCCCATGGTTTCTTAGGTGGTGCGAAACAGATTTTGTCTAACCAGGGTTATACAGCAAATGGCTAACCACTGGCCGCCTGGCCAAACATCCAGGAAGCCAGAAAACAGTATTGGAATACCCCAGCACCGTAATTAATTTGTTTCCAGGGCACGGTTGTGGAACTCAGGTGCCTGCTTTTTTGGGCCTGTGCACTTCAACGTGTGTGCTGTCTTGGTTCAAAAGGGCAAACGCGGGGGCTTTGCGCCGAAATTGGGGGTTGTCCACTGGGGGTCGCTCTTGGATAAATGCACTTCCATCTAAGTGTTGTTCAGGGCAAATCAATCTGGTATGCGAGCTTCCATGCTTGTTGGAACGGGTGCTCCAAAACCACAAAACTGCATTAGTCAGGCTGCGTCTTCACCGGAGAGGGTCCGCGGATGTCCGTGCACTTTCACGTGTTTGAGGGGGCAGGTCGGGTGTTCCAAAACGGCATACTTCAGGCTGCTTCCGTCTTCCAGAAATTGGCCTCTGGCATTTTGCCAGGGTACTGAAGCTTTGCGGGTTTGGAGGGAACCCAAAAAGGAAACCAACCAATTGACCGGGCTGTTGGGTTAATCTAACCAACTTTGTTTACTTTCACAACCCTTGGTATGGTACCTGGACCTTCCATTGATACCTTCTTTTTGCTCGCTCTTTTTTCTGCTCAAACACGCAGTTTGTGCCCGATTCTTCAATTTCTGCCCGAGCAATGAACAAGTGCACGAGGTTTATATTGTCGAATGAGCACTTTTCAAATTTGCGCTCGTTTGCGGGTTTTTGCGCTCGTTTTGCGGGCCGTTGCGGGCGTTGTTGCACACAATTTCTGCTCGAGTAGGTCATATTAGGACCTGACAGCCCACATGCCTCCAAAAACTGATCGAGGTCCAAATTCCAAACACCAGCCGATTGACAGGTCAGGCAGAAATTTCAGGTACGTTGGAAGGTCCAGGTAACAAACAACTTTGTTTTGCGTCACCAACTAAAACTGAACAGAACCAAAAGAAAAAAACACATACCAAGAACCGCGAAGTTACCCTTCAGGATTGTCATCTAAATTGTGGTCCCCTTGGTGGCCATTCTTTTAATGGGAATCGGTTGAAATGTCAACCCTAGGCTCAGGATCTTTGCTGGTGGAGGCTCAAAACCTTTTCACCAATCCCCGGGAAAAAGAACAACCAACTCGTGGACGCCTTAAGGGGGACTTACAAGTGGGTTACACCCTAGGTTCGGCCAAGTTAAGTGGTTGGCCACTTGGGTGGTAGCCTGCAAATAGCCGGGCGAACCCCACTAAGGGTCAAAAAAGACGCTAGCCTTTGGACAAGAATTCTCGCAGTCACAGACCAAGTGGGTGATTTCCCCACTGAACTTGTTAATTAACGGGTGTCCCTGGGTTTCGTGGGGATTCAGATCACTTTGGGCGGGGAACACCCTCATATTCATAATCTGGGTTCAACACTCATTCCCCGGGGATGTATCCATCGGCGAGCATCATGTTGGAGCGGCTCTGGAAACACTTCACCTAGGTCCCCCAGTACAGAGGTCAGAATAAGGGTACCAACTTTTTTCAGGACGTCTATTTTAGTAGGGGAACCCTCCCCCGAAAAAGGGTGAGAAGGGGCACTACTGGGGGACCCCACATTCATCAACCCCAGTTTATTGATAGGGGTGCTTTTCCCGAAGTTCAGTGGGGGCCCCAACCCCCATAATATAGAGGGGTGGATGAATAGAGGGTAAACATTAAAGCCCCCCCTCCTGGGGCATTAGAAAACACCCCGGAGGTGGGTAGTCTATTTCAGTAGGGTTGAACGGTTGAACCCTCCCAACCAAACAAGGGCGAGAGAAGGGCAGCTGGTGGACCAAAAGTGCGGTCTTGCCTTCTCCTTCACCTTCTCCTCAGGCTTCTTGCGCTCCTCGCGGAACGAAAGACATGCCCCCGACAGCTCCAAACAAGGGCACCACTAGGGGAAGCACGGGGGTTACACGGTGAATACCTGGAGTCTCCTTCTGACCACTAGAAAAAGGGGTCATTGCCAAAAGTTAAGGGGTTACAAGTAGTCATTTTTAAGGGGTCATGGAGACTCCAAATACCTCCAGGCACACGGTGGGATATCATACCCTGGCCAAAAGTGGGGAAATGTGACGTAGAGGGCGGAACTTTCAGATCACGCACCCCTCTCGCTCTCACAGGACATGGATGTGGAGCATAGCCTTCTCGGCGACAGCGAAGCAGGCCATCCCTATAAGCTTGCGACTTCAAAGCCGAATGTTCACAAGGCGCCAAAGTGGACCCATTCCTCAGTTGTTCAGTGACCCTGGAAAAAAAGGGAAACCTTTTTGGGGAAGACCATTTTAGTGGGGCAGCCAACGAAAAAAAGGGACAAAGGGTGCCATCCCTCGAAAAGCCAAGCCTTGGAACCCTGGCAGAGAAGGCAACCCTTGATTGAGCTTCGCCATGTTTAGAACCCGCCAAACAAGAAGGCAAAACAACCAGGCGCCACTGAAGTAGCTTAGAACGGGCACATGATGTTCGCGTTGTCAGGGGCAAATCCAGGGAGAGGGGTTTTGGAGGTGTGGATGCTTTACCAGCTATATAAGCTTGTACAGCGGTAATTTTGGTGGTAAGCTCCATACCTCCAAAACCAGTACGTGGACCTGTCCTTTATGTGCCAGGAACCCCAGTCAAGTTTGATGGCAAAGACTACATCTCCGCTTCACACCCGTCGAATGCTTTGAAGGGACACCAAAAAAAAAGGAACGCCGTTGTGCCATTTTGGGGCGTCCCCTGAAAGACAGTACTCTTTTTGGTATTTTGTTTTAACGGTAAGGCAGAAGGAACACTGTTGCGGCCATTTTGGGGCGTTTGGTAAAAGACACACCGACTTGACATTTCCAGCAACTTGTCTTTTCGGTCGTTTGGCCCGCCTCTTTGACCGCCTCCACGCTGCTTTGCTCGGGCTTCACCTGTGCTCACTCTGTAACCGTCCACAGAGCTACCCAGGTGTTGCGCCTCGGAACAAGCCACACAAGAAGATAATCAGCGCTGCCGGCAGCTGCCAAGTCACAAAGGAAAAATCGCATTGTGGAAACAAACAGGTGAACATGTTGCCTGTGCTCTAGAGGATCCAGGTGCACTATAGTAGGTGAATGGAAATTCACGCGTCTAATTTTTACATTGTGGTTCCTTCATAAGGGGAGGAACCTACCAAGTCCCTAACCAGAACTTCCGGTAGCTCCAAAAGGCTCCCTCGTAGGCGAATTTTGATCCCTCTTAGGCAAAGTTGGAAGCCATTTATTGTACCATGGCGCACGGGAGGTTGCCCATGTTCGGAGCTCACCAAACAAGAATGGAAAACGAAAAGGGGCCACTGAAGTAGCTTGAAAAGGGTGCATGATGTGTGCGCATTGTCAACGACAATTCCACGGAGAGGGGTTTGGAAGTACTTGATATGGCAGGAACCCCCGGCCCCAGTCAAGCTTGATGGCAACGAGCACAGCTCCGCTTCACACCCGTCGAACTCCTTTTTGGTAGGCTTTGACGGGAAACCAAACGGAACACTGTTGCGGCCAATTTGGGGCGTTTTGTTAAAGACACACCGACATGACATGTTCAGCAACTTGTCTGTTCGGTCGTTGGCCCGCCTCTTTGACAGCCAGGCTGGTTGGCTCGGGCTGAACCTGCGCAAAGTAATCGTCCACCGAGCTACTGGTGTTGTTGCTTGGGTGCTCGATTCGTCAGGTTGGTAAGTTCTTGGTAAACGTTCTGTTACAACCGATTTATAAGATCCCCCGTGAACGTGGGGTTAACCTTGTCAATGCGCGAGTTACTATTCAGGGGGTCCCACAAAAAGGGACCACCTAAATGTTATTCATCAGGGGTCAGCATTAAGAGGGTTATGCCGAATGACAATCCCCTCTTTTTAGCTTGGCGAATCGAACATCCAAATGAACGTCTCGGAGCAAGCCGCACAAGAACTGAATAATCGCTCCCCCCCCCAAACAAAAAACAATCCGGCGGGCTGCCATAATAGGCCGATCCAAGAAACAAACAATTGCATGGAAAACGGGAAGGTTCAGATCTTTCTCCGCGCTCTACAGGATCCAGTTGCACTCATGTCTCCAACCAGAACTTCCGCTAGCTCCAAAAGGCTCCCAAGGCAAACTTGGATACCCGCTACCTCCTTAGCTCCCTCTTGGGCAAGTTTGGGAGGGCTGATTGATGCGAAGCCATTTTTCGAAGCCATGGCGCACGAAAGGTTGCTCCACCAAACAAGAAGGGAAAACAAAAAGAGGCCACTGAAGTAGCTTGAAAAGGGTGCATGATGTCTGCGCATTGTCACGGACATTCCACGGAGAGGGGTTTTAGAGAAATGAATGCTTTCTTGCCAACACAAGCTTGTAGGGCGGTTTCCTTGATACGGCAGGAACCCCGGGCCCCAGTCAAGCTTGATGGCAAAGAGAACCGTTGGCCCGCCTCTTTGACCGCCTCCAGGCTGGTTTGCTCGGGCTTCACCTGTGCACTCTGTAACCGTCCACCGAGCCACTGGTGTTGTTACTGTACTTGGGTGCTCGATTCGTCAAGTTGGTAAGTTCTTGGCAGCCGTTCGGTTACAACCGATTTACAAGTCCCCCGTGAATGTGGGGTTAGCCTGTCAATGCCCGAGCAAATTCAGGGGCTCCTGGAAGATTGGACAGGGACCACCTAAATAAGTGGCGGGGCTATCCAACAGGGGTCAGCACGGTTATGCCCCAAATGACGATCCCCACTTATTAGGGCGAATCGAACCTCCAAATGAAGCTGTTGCCGAGCTTTTTCGGTGTCTCGAACAAGCCGCAAAAGAACTGAGCAACTCGCCCCCCCCCCCAAGGCAAAAACAATCCGGCGGGCTACCATAAGGCCCGATCCAACCTGGAGCACCCTTGGCTACCTAAATTTCTGCCCTTAGCCCAAACGTATTGCAAAACCAGGGGTCGTCACCAAAATACTGTAAATGTACACTTTTTCCTGCTTCGAGCGTTTTTCCCAAAACCGGGCTGGTCGGTCCTCCAAGATGATCGGTCGCTGAATTTCGAAAGGAGCGAGCAGAATTCGAAGTGCAAAACGAGCGCAAATATCCGCAAAACAAGCACAAATATCCGCAAACGACTGCAAATTCAAAAAACGTAACAATGCCCGCCGTCCTCTGGATGGAGGAAGGGATTTGGTCGAGCATTTTTCGGGGTGCCCTAAGGATCCCAACTCTTTTCGGGGCGTCGTTTTGCATCGGGCCCTCAGGGACAGAATGGCGAGGGGCCATAGAAACACGACCCCTCGTAGCGAGGGCCCCGGCTGCTCCGGGTCTGCAACCACTATCGATCATTCAATAACAATCGCTTTTATTGGCCCGCACACCGTCCTGGCCGGCAAACAAAAGATTCAGTTGCCACGGACAAGTCGGTAAGCCCAAGCATGTCCTGGCAAACACAGATCTCGGACGGCTTTCCGACATCTGCTTTCCGACGGCGTTCTCACTCATGCTGGCATTCCGCGGTTTCTGAAAACTGTCCGACGGCTTTCCGACGGCTTCCCGGCGTTTCTGATGGCTTCCTGACGCTTCCGACGGCTTCCCGACGTCTTCCTGACGTTTCCGACGGCTTCCCGACGTTTCCGACGGCTTCCCGACGTTTCCGACGGCTCCCTGATCTTTCCGACGGCTTCCCGACGTTTCCGATGGCTTCCCGACGTTTCCGACGGCTTCCTGATCTTTCCGACGGCTTCCCGACGTTTCGTTTCCGACGGCTTCCCGACGTTTCCGACGGCTTTCCGACGCTCGGGCCCTCGCGGGCCCTCGGTTTGCCTAGTTTTGAGGGCCCAAGCGTTAGCTTCCCGACGTGTTTCCGACGCCAGACCTTGACGCGTGCCGTTCTAATCGGCACTCAACTGGCCCATAAATACAAACTGTGACTTTACGCCATTGCAAGCCAATAGCAGCGACAGCGCGTAACCAAAGGAATTTTGCAGGGCTCATGGGCCTGTCAGACACACGCACAAACAAGCAAAGTCAGCAACCTTTTGGCAAACACGGGATAACACGGGACTCCTGCCAAGAAGCTGTGAAATACCAAGCAAGTGAAGACACATCACCAGCCCACAAGTACATCCGAAACAACAGGTAACGCGTTAGCGATAACACTGTGGACTCAAGCCGCCCAGCCTTCACCCATAGCGCCTGGCCTTTTTTTACAATTATCTGAAAAACGGATTTTTGTTCTGCGCAGGGGTGTCGTTGCGGCCAGTGGCCAGTTGGGTTTCAGACCTTGTCGCGTGCGCTCAAAACGGGTCTGGGCCCCCGGGGCGTCGAACTGTGAACTGCCAGAGCCCCGGAACGTCGTCAGCAGGGTATTTAGGCCGGACCCTTTCAATGCACATCCCGACCCTTCCAATGCACATACCAAAGAGCCTTAGGGTGCGAGCTTTTTTTTGCGGGGTCGAGCAGAAATCGGTAATTCGAGCGTTTTTTCCCGTACCTAAAAAAAAGGGCACGTTGGGTGCCTCAGGAACAAAAAACATGGCATGGAAAACGGGAAGGTTCAGATCTTTCCCCGCGCTCTACAGGATCCAGTTGCACTCATGTCTCCAACCAGAACTTCCGCTAGCTCCAAAAGGCTCCCAAGGAAAACTTGGATACCTGCTACCTCCTTAGCTCCCTCTTGGGCAAGTTTGGGAGAGCGGATGCGAAGCCATTCTTTGAAACCATGGTGCACGGGAGGTTCACCATGTTTGGAGCGGGAGGTTGCGCATGTTTAGAACTCACCAAGCGAGAAGAGAAAACAAAAAGGGCCCGAAGTAGCTTAAAAAAGGACAATTCCACGGGTCCGTGGGTGTCGGAGGTACGAATGCTTTCCTGTTCACACAAGCTCCATAAATAGCAAGCTCCATACCTCCACAACCCCTGCCTTGATATGGCAGGAACCCCCGGCCCCAGCTTGCTGGCTTTGGAGCACAGCTCCGCTTCACCCCCGTCGAACTCCTTTTCAGGCTTTGAAGGGCAACCAAACGGAACACAGCTGCGCCAATTTGGGGCGTCCCCTGAAATACAGTACCCATCTTTTGTGGTAGGTTGTTTTAACGGCAAGGCAAAAGGAACACTGTTGCGGCCAATTTGAGCGTGTTGTCACAGACACACCCAGCAACTTGTCTTTTCGGTCATCGTTGGCCCGCCTCTTTGACAGCCTGCAGGCTGTTTTGCCCGGGCTTCACCTGTGCACTCTGTTTCCGTCACCGAGCTGCTGGTGTTGTTACTTGGGTGCGCGATGCGTCAAGTTGGTAAGTTCTTGGCAACCGTTCGGTTACAATCGATTTGTAAGCCCCTGTGAACGTGGGATTAATCTTGTTAATGCTGACCCTTCAATAACCCTCCCCCTTTTGTCAATCAGGGGGGTTTCCTGGAAGGACGGACTCACCAAAAAAAAGAACGGCCACTTATTCACTTCAAACATCCAAGTGGAGCTGGGGCTGAGTTTCTCGGGCTGTCAGGGAACATAATTACCCCTCCCCCCCTCCCTCCCAACAAAAACACTGCCGTTGGGACGAGTCAAAAACACCAAGCACGGCATGGAAAACGGGAAGGTGAACATGCTTCCTGCGCTCTACAGGATCCAGTTGCACTATGGGAGCCCGATATATTCACGTCTCAGTTACTGCATGGTGGTTTCCCCGGTTGCCTACATCAGGGCTCGAGACTTCAACAAGTGAAAGGTTTCCTTCAGGACCGCGCCACCGGCGCGACTCCATAAAGGCAGCGAGCTGCTTTATGTGGGAACATCAAGGGACCTACCCAGAGGCTCCTGGCTTTGGCTTGCGATGGAAGACCCGACCATTAGACACCCCGGAGGTGCTTGGGACCCGGTCTCAAAACCAGGTTGTTGGAAGGCCCTAAAACAATCGGGAGCCTCTGGGTAAGGAAATTCTACCACGTCCCAGCCAGAATTTCCGGTGGCTCCCCGTTGGCGAATTTGGATACCTCTTTAGCTCCCTCCTAGCCAATCTGAGACCTGCACGCCCTTTCCACGAAGCCGGCTCTGTGGGCAACCGAGCCAATACATGTTTCGTGACCTCCCTTCGTATACCTCTTGGTTTAGGGTATGTCTTTTTGGGGAGCCCTCTTTGTTTGGCTTGACAAACAAACCATCATTTGGGGGGGGGGGGGTCCGCCCCTCCCCTTTCGCGCTTCGCAGCGAACCTTGCCTCGGCTACGGCTGGCTCGTCCGCCAGCACCTCGCAAGGCTTGCCACTTGATTCTGGACTCTCCCCTGCAAAAAGAGAATCGTTTCAACTTGGTGGCAAGTCAAGAAGGAAGCAATCCCCTCGGCCTCTTGAGAACACGCGCAAAGCTGAAAGGCCTTGCCACCTCCGCCCAGATAGCTCGGCGGCCAGCTAATTGTGCGCCAGCCACTACACAAAGGGCCTCCGATTTCAAAGGTTCGTGGCGCGCGGGTCATTGTTCATCCTCCGGGCGACATCTTGTAAACTATGGAACACCCTCTGCGAGCGGTCTCCAGGGCGCGAGTGCCAGGAGGAGATCTTTTATGGCAGCTACCACCTCCATTCTATAAGTTGAGGAATTGCTGCCTGCTGCGTCACTAGGGTCAGCTCCGCCCATGCCGAGCTCGAGCAGGTAGCGACTCAAGTAGTCCGCCAGAAGATTCGCGCTGGCCGCAAAAGGACGACACAAACTCGTCGCACGGCGTGGGCAGCTTCAAACATGGGGAGAGAATCGGGAGCCTCAGCGATCTTCAAAAGCACACACGCGCTGATGTGTCCCCTGACTCCAAGCGCCCGATGTGTTCTCAGTGTTTTTTTGAAAACCTCCCAGGTATGTGGCTACCTTTATTTGCTCAAGTCCCTCATAAAAAAAGTAGTGATAGACTCCCATTAGAATAATTAAGCCAAAATAAAACAAATCTTGAGCAAATGGAAGTACGAGACGCATTTAAAACCCCCCTTCTACAAGAAAAGCTACCCCTTAAAACACCTCTCCGCTGGTTATTCACTTTGGGTTGGGGTTGGAACAACAAGAACGGGTGTTTGCCCCTGCCATATTCCAGGGAACAAGGACACTCTGCCAAATGTGCCTTCGATCTTTAGCATGGTTTGGTGGCTCTGGTTGGTTCACTTGCAATACCCAAAGCTTCCAAAGACCTGGTTAAACTAGGTGCTCGGTGGAAAAAACACCTGCCTGACCCGCTGAAGAATTTTCCTTCTGGTGGGCGAAACGGTGTTCTGGACTTCTTAGGATATCTAAGGCATCCATCTTAGCCCCACCTCCCATGGCCCAAAAGTGGGGGGGGGGAAACGGGGTCCGGGGGGTTCGGATTCGCCACCAAACTGGGGCTCCCCCTGAACTGGACCAATCCCCTTTTAAAGAGGAAAGCGTACTTGACACATATACATATCTAGATCTACATGTATATGTACATCAACATATATATATATATATATGTATAATGTATATTTACACAACTGTCAAAACCAACTTGGCCCAAACCCTCCCTCTGCAGTAGAATCCCCTGGAAAAAAACAGTAGTCCAGTGATCGATTCCCGTAAAACCAACAAAGGAACAGCATTGAGGTACCTGGTTGTGGAGGCAGATGTGGGTTTGTTAAAATAGGTGGACCCCCAAAACGCTTGGTTCCTTTTGGCTTCCCTGTCACACCACCAAAAAAAGAGGGTTCCCTAAAACAGACACACCCGATTGTATATACATAGGCCTGATAAACCCTGCAGCAGGTCGAACCATCTTTACAGAGGTGTACATATATATATATATGTAATATACTACCATGTCCTCACAGACCTCCTGGTAGCTCCGTAGCTGACAAAAAAAAAAAGCAAACTTGGACCCCCAGATCCGAGTCAGGCTCCCTTCCAACCACTAGCTAGTGTATGTTTATATATATTTTTATATACCGTGGATGAACAAAAAAGTCATTTTGCATCACCTAAGAAGCCCCGGCTTCCGATGATTCCCTTGTAAATGCCCACTTTCCATGGGTGTCCACCATGGTTTCATTTCGTGGTGCGGTTTATGGATTTCGTAACCATCCACAGTGAAGGCCCCCGCTGTGGGAGGGGCACTGGGCGCTCGTCCCGGCATTTCTGGTGTTGAGCTGGCTTGCTAGATCAAGTTGACATGTGCAATCGGCTTCTTCTTCTTTTTTGGCACCCGCAAAGCCCCGATCCAAGCCGAGTGGGACCCGTGAAGTTTCTTCCAGGTGCCACGGATGGTCTTCTGCAGCCCTAAACCCAATCCAAGCCACCCGCGGACAATTGCAAGTTTGCCCTGTTTCTCAACTTGAGGCTTCAAAGGGGAACATCGATCCGAAACGTCCGTTTTCTGATCCCTTTTTTTTGTGGCTTTAGGAAGCCAAAAGGAGAATCGCATATTTATATATTTGCTTGGTGGCTCCCAGCCATCCGGTTCCTTATAGCTGTTTAGCTTCTTGAGGGTTTCAGGGGGTTCCATGTAACCCACTAAAAGTGAGTCACTTCGAGCAGGTGCCCTGACAAACGGAAAGCACATCTAGGGAAAACGTACCCCCGCGAGAGTCTCTCTCTCCCGCGACAACAGCCCGCGCCGCGGCCTGCGCCGGCATGACTCTCGCCGGCGCCGGCGCCTTTCATGGCGTGCCCGGCGTGGCGTTGCGCCCGAGGTGGAGTAGGAGCTCAGTTGTTCAGTGACCCTGGGGAAAAAAAGGGAACCCTTTTTGGGGCTTGGACCATTTTCAGTGGGGCAGCCACCCAAACAAAAGGGGGAAAAGGGTGCGACTGAACAACTGAGGGAGGGGCAGCAAAAACTTCCTGAGATTGGCGCAAATACCGTTCTGGAATAAGGGTCATGACCCCTCCAATGCACACCCCCGGACCCTCCAATGGAGAACCCCGACCCCTCAGGGCCCCTTGAAAACAACCAGTTTTGAGGGCCCAAAAACAATCAAGATTCTGAAGGGTCCCAGACTTTTAGTTTGCCACTCAGATTGCGACGAAAGCCTGGATGCACAAAAGGCTTGTCCGAGGCAATGAATTGATTTATACTGGCCAAGCTTTCTGGTCGTGACTTCCTTTTCCAAATTCCGGTGGCAGCTGACCAAAGTCCTTCTGTGGCATCTTCACCAAGATCTGTAGTACCGACCTCTCCTCCTATATACACTCAGTTGGCCAGGGTTTCACTTTTTGACCCAAGTGTAGACTTAAACCCAGCGGTTCATTCCCCAAAAGGATAAACTTTGGGGTTAAGTCTGTGTTGGGGTAGTCAAAAAGTGGCGCCCTGCAGTTGCCCCTTCAGAACCCAGAGAAAAGAAAAATAAAAACAACGAAAACCGCTATACTGGCATAGGTCGCAGGTGGCGGCGGGCATACCTCCTCGCACCTTGTGATTCCTGCCCAGCAAACTGCTTGCATGTGGTGAAGACCCCTGCCCAAAAAAAATATATCTTCAGTAGTGATAAATTCCTTAAAAAAAAAACAGAGGAAATTAAACATATTCTTAAGCAAGTGGAAGATGGCAGAAAGGCTCCTTTTCCTCTCCTCTCCCCCCCCTCTCCCCCCGCTCTCCCCCCCCCTCTCCCCCCCCCGGGCTAACATGAAACCCACCAGAGAAATGGTCCCTTCTGAATCAGAATGGTCCAAACCACCCCGAACGGGCCAAGTTGATCGAGGCTTTTCGGGGTTTGAGACAATAAGCGCGCAGGGATTTCGCCCAGGATGGATGGATGGATGGGGTTCCCCTTGTTAAAGCGGAGGTTCCTTTAAAGCGGGCCGCGCTCCTTGTGGTTTTCAATGGAAACCACAAAAACAATCGGTTTGTACCATGCCAACTTTAGAATGGTTTAGTGCAAAATAAGTGGACATCAACTTGCCCTAATGGTTAATCTGTTAGCGCATCCTTGCCTTGTAAAATGACAAGCTTCAGATCCTACCTACTTGGATGTTCGATTCGCCAAGTTAGTATGTGCTTAGCCACTTGGCTTCTTCACCTCCTTATTACACGGTTAGCCCCACATTAACGGTGGACTTACAAGTGGGTTGTAGCCCGGGTGGCCAGTTAACCTACTAACTTGGCGAGTCGAAGACCCAAGTAGGCTTTCGGAGCATTTAAAGTCCCGGCCTGGATGGTGCTAGGCAGATCGCTGGACTGCCACGCAGAATCCTGCCAGCGTCCAAACCCGTAGCGGTTCTCCTCCATTTACTTAAGTCCCCAAAGGCTCCAATTCGATTGATTTAGGGCCTTCACCTAACCTGGCTTTGAGAACCGGGTCCCAACCACCTCCGGGGTGTCTAACGAAGCGGTCGGGTCTTCCATTGCTCGCCGATGGGAGCCTCTGGGCCTGGAGAAACGAAAATATGGGTGCGTCTGTTTTTGAGGGTACCCCTTCGTTACCCCTTCGCTGGAAACCAAAAGGACACTTTGGCCGGCTTCCGTCCACTGCAGGGATTTTCCTGGGTATCAGAAAAAAGTAAAGCCCTAAAACCCGGTGTTCCGCCATGCCACAGCCTGTTTGACACCAACCAAAACGTGGCAGGTTGAAATCTTAAGCTAAACCCAAAACTTTTAGCAAAAGAGACCAACCATGGGTGTGACTTCTTGCAGCATAGACCATTGCGATCCAGTGAAAGCTCGTTGCACAGTTGGCTCATTGACTTGGCTATAAAGGGTTGCTGAGAAGCCTCAAGAAAAATATCCTAAAGGTTGGCTGTGAGCGTCCAGGATGTTATGTGAGAGCAAGCCTTGAAGTTGCAACAGGGGTCACTGGATTCCCTCTTCAAACATTGCAATGTTAATTACTGGTTTCCCTTGAAACGATCGCCACTTTTGGAGGTTCCAAAAAAGGAAATGGAGGGAACTCTGTTGCAAGGCCTAGACTTAAACATATTCGTGATCATGGTTTTGCCTCGAACGTCCAAGGATATGTTCGAAAAGAACGAGCACACTTTGCCACCCAAGCTCACAGGCAAGGATATGTTTCACGGGATTTCCAATTTGCTTGCTGGTGGACATCATTTAAGTGGGAACTCACGTCTGCCAACCGCTTTTCCCATTCACTCGCAGGTTGGCTCTCCTTCTTCCCCAGCTGAAAGCGTTCTGGGGCCCCCAAGCTCGGCTCGCTCGAAATGGGTTTCGGGCAGCTTTCAGGTTCAAAAGAGGGCTCGAGGGGTTCTTGGTTGATTGCAGGGTTACCCTGGTTGCTGAAGAAATTTCGCTGTAATCCCAATCTGGGAGGGTTTATCCAGGGTCAACATGGTCCATAAACAAACACAGTAGTTCCAATAGCGATAGATTGCTTTAAAAAAGCAGCAGGCAAAAACACACCTTCATTTCAGCAAATGGAAGTATCCCTTCCAAATGGGTGTGGGTCAAAAATAGGTACCGCAAATGGAACCCTGGAAAATGGAAAGAAGGACTCTGCGGTCCCCTGGTGGTCTATACTTTTGACCCATGCCCAAATGGACCCATTGGCAAGAGGCAACTCAGCAACTGTCCAAAGGCCGGCCCAGAAAGCCACAGCAATACCGCGATATGAACAGGACATGACCAGCCGACCTGAGTTAACAAGGTACCCAGTGGATCCATTTACCAGGTAAAGGTGAGCAGCCAAGACCTGGCCACCCGCTATTGAAACCACACGGAACATAGTTGGTGACCTACTATATGAGCACTGAGGTTCAGTCTGGCAATCTGAGAGTCCTTATTTCTCATATGGCTGTGGCTCAAAAAATGGTACCCAAAATGGCATCTTGGTACATTGAAACTAAAAACCTGCGAACCCCCAGCTATTCAATTTTGAGCCACAGTTCGGTTGACCAGGTTGAGAATGGGCGACTCACCAAACCTGAAGGGGATTTACAGCAACCCCGTAATGTTGACCCCGGATTAATAAACCCCGGTTTGTTAATATGGGGGTGTTGCCGGTTTTAGTGAGGAATTATCACTTTTGGAGGGGAACACCCCCATATTAATATTTTGTTTCTTTCGGGGGTATGATTCGATCAACTCGAAAAATCGGTGCCAGAGAACACCGCTAATCATTCAACGCGTAGCCCGACAAAGTGGGATATTTGGAGAGGGACGCCGGAAGGCGTTGGACAAACGAACGAGCGGGGATTTCCCTATCAAACTTAGTCAAGGTGCATTTACGGGGAATCCTCTCGAACCCCGGTTCTCCCTGTATCTGAAGACGGCGCCACACAAGGGAAGCAAAAGAAACGTGAACTAGGTCCTCCAGTAGCGAGGATAGAATAAGGCTACCAACTGTTTTTTCAGGACGTCTATTTTAGTAGGGGGGTTTCCTCCCAACCAAAAAAGGGGAGAGAAAGGGCACCTGGCTGGGGGACAATATGGAAGACCATTTTAGAGGTCTCTATTTGGACATGCGTCTGGCAAAAAATACCATGCCCAAATAAGGGGAGAGAAGTTGGCAACTAGCTGGGGAACCTCCCACGGCTCCGAGCCTGGGCGTCGCTCTCCAGCTGTTCGCCAGGCTTCTGACAGGCGCGAGTTCTTGAATGGGTTTGGCACCAGCTCTGCAAGGAGAGGCTGGCTCAACACTCATATTATCATATCTCCATATCCATATGTCCATATATCCATATCCAAATATCTATATCCATATACACATATATAGATATATGTATCCAAATATCCCTAAGTTTTCCATATATCCCTATTCCTGGGCTGTCCGTTTTCAGATCCCCCGCGAGAAGTGAACAACTGTTCGTGGGTTGACTGGAAAACCCATGAAACCAACGAAACATCCAAGAACCTCTGGCTTGACTCCAGGAACCCTGACACCCAGCGACAGCAGGGAAAGTCGGCGAATCCGAGGATGGGAAGACTTGATAGGGCTTAATCAGTGATTCAGGACCATGTAAGCCTTACCAAGGCCATGTGGGGTGTGTCTAGGGCACCCCCTTAAGCAAAAAAAACAATGTTCCTTGTGGTTTCGCGTTAAAACGAATCCACACATACACATCCAGAAGGGCGAGACGCAAAACCGAAATTGGGGGAACCATGCGCACTGCCGACGGGATGAAAAATCCGGTGACTCAGCCTGTCATCAACAAAACCACCAGTTCGCTCCACTTTGAAGCACTTGGTACGTGAAATGAAGAAAAAAACGGGATATCACCTAGTAGGTGCCCCCACGCCCCATCCAAACGCTACCAAAAAACAACCCGATCAAAAGGCACACCCTCGGAACCCGGCCTTTCCTTGAGGCCATGTGGGCCGTCCATAAGGGGACAAAATTTCGCACCACGAAATGAAACCATGGCTGTAGCCATTGTTTGTCCGTATTCACAGGAAAATCATCCGAAACCAGGGATTCTGAACGGTGGTGCATGATATTGT